GTACCCCACAAAACCATAATAAAAAATACTGATTAATGAAAAAAAAAAATAAATAAATAAATAAAATTGACTTCATAAATACAGATTTAACTCTGTAGCCAATAGTAGAAATTCTGTCTTTGGAAAGACTCTAATATATTCAAAAAGAGTTATGTTAGGCCACATTAAAACTTAATAAATTTTAAATTATAGAATATATAAATGCCCTTCCACTTGGTTAATTGGTCTATTAATGTATTCTTGAGTCAAAGGGGAAATAAAAATTATAGGCACAAAATTCAGGGAAAATATTAATAGTAAAAATATAGTAGAATATCCTTAACACTACTAAACTTTACACTTAAAAAGAGTTAAGATGATAAATATTATGGGCAATTTATCTGAGTTAAACAAACATTAGAGACCAAAATGTATGAAATATTACCAAAGCAGTACTTAATAAAAAAACATAATCTTAATAACTTATCATTATATAAATTAAATGATGACAATAGATGAATTAAGTTTCTAATTCAAAAAGATAAAGAATTACAATATTTATTGAAGGAAAGCAAAACAAAAAGGTGACTGACTATAGGTGAAAAGCAAAAACTTTAAAAGTTAAGAGTTTGAGTCAAGGAAATGTATTCCAATTCAAATAATATAAATTAAACAGAAACTATCATCTAAATAGCCCAACATTTTTATTTCAGACATTATGAATTGAGGTCCAATGAAAAGAAGGGGTCACACAAAACCAGAACTAAAATCCAAGTCTTCTTACACCAAGTGAAGTTTCTCATGTAACTGAAACTTAGAAAAGGTACAAATTGACTCAATCCCATTGTAAGGAGGAACTTGAAGGAAGTCTAGGTGGGGTAGGAGAACAGAGGAGTCCAGGCCAGAAGGCAGCGCATGTACTAAGTTGGATAGATACAAAAAGGATTAGCATGGCCCCTGTTCAAGAGTGACGCCCCATATTTTTCAGAGAGGAAGAAAGGATAAAATATGAAGAAGCACGAAAAAACCTTTGGAGGGTGATGGATTCGCTCATTACCTTGATTATAGTGATGATTTTGCAGGTGTACATATATGCCAATACTTATCAAATTGTACATTTTAAATACAAGCAATTTATTGTTTGTCAATTATATCTCAATAAGGTTCTAGCAAGACATTTATTTTTATTTGTTTTGAGACAGTGTCTCACTCTGACACCCAGGCTGGAATGTGGTGGCACAACCATAGCTCACCATGGCCTCAATCCCCTGGGCACAGGTAATCCTTCCACCTCAGCCTCCCAAGTAGCTGGAACTACAGGTGTACACCACTATGCCCAGCTAATTTTTTTTTATTTTTTGTAGAGACAAGACCTTGTTATGTTGCCTAGGCTGATCTCAAATTCCTGGACTCAAGTGATCCTCCCGCCTCAGTCTCTCAGAGTGCTGGGATTACAGGCATGAGCACCACACCTGGCCAGCAAGACATTTATTATAATAAAATATGAAAGAAGAAAAAAAAAGACTATTTCCTGAACAAGTGTTGAATGGGTGGTGATAATGAGAAGAATAAACCCATAGAGGTATAAACATTTAATGGATAATTATAAGCATTCTTGTGAGAGAAATTTCTAAAAAAGAACTAATGAGTTATCAGCCTGAGATTGTAAGTATTACATTTTGAAACTATTTATAATGCAGAATACTTAATGTCATAAAGAAAATGTTAAGGAAACTCACATTACCTGGGAAAACTGTCTATGATGAAAATAGATATTTCCTGCATTAAAGTAAGCCAGTGAGTACTCGGGGTTTAGAGAAATCGCTGCTTGATAGTCTTTCATTGCATTCTGTTGTTGACCCATAAACTCATGAATCACACCACGATTTGTTAAGAATTCTGCTGTAGTATTGATCTGCAATATAATAGTATGAGTATTCAGCATCTGGGAATAGTATTTATCTCCAATTCCATGTCTGCAAAAATGAACGTTATGAAATCTACTTGTGGGAAACTAGTAATTTTATCGTGCAGGTAAAACCCCATTAGAGCAAATATTTTGAGAAAGGAATTGGTATGAAGTTGATTCAATGTCAACATTTTGTTGATTTGGTTGCAATAAAGCAAATAATCTTAGTGTTTTACTCATTTCCTTTCCAAGGAATAGACACCGCAGTAAAGTTTATCTGTTTAGCTATGTTAAGCTAAAAGAGAAATTAAACTGAGTAGTCAGCATGCATATTTGTCCTATTTAGTAGCAATCATCTTTCAGTTCTTTTTTTTTCTCTCATTTCAAACATTACAACACCTGCCCCACTCTACAGAAACAAAGGCAAAAGCTAAAAGAAGGGTTTTTGTCACTGCATTCAACATGAGATTTGTATTTGTCATCTCACTACAGGAAGAATCTAGGGATCTATCTACATAGTTCTTTCTTTAATACTTTCAAACCTAGAGCATTATTTTATGTTATGCATTTGTTTTGCATTACTACAAAATAATATTGAAATTCCATGAAACTATAACTGCATTTACTGAGAGGAATCAATGTTTATCAAGAATTTGAGATTTTTTGAATTTTGAATACATTTGGGTTATAAAATTGGCTAGCCGTAATAATTCTTTACCACAAAAATTACTCAGGGAAAAAAATAACCATAAAATATTATTTCTGCCACAAATGACCTTAAAAAGGAAACAGAGAACTTCCTACTTGAACCTATTCAACAGCATTGTTAATTTGTGCTAAAAATAATATAATCTAAGAAGGTTTTTACCTTCATGGCAGCATTAATATCCTGCATTGCACCAAAATTATTACCCATCTGCAGACAGACGACAGCTCTTCCTTCATAGGCTAGGTAGCTCCTTGGATCAACTTCTATGGCAATAGTAAAGTGGTTCCAAGCTTTTTGGAATTTTCCTTGGGCCTAAAACAATTTTCTGATTACATGAAGTAGGAAATAGTCCGTAACATGACAATGTTTATGATTCTAAATCAGTCAAACAAGTAAAATCTTTAGTAATGGTATATTTATATTGTGCTAAATCTGTTATTTTAACCAAGCAAGTAGACTGTACTTTGAATGCATTCAACTGGCTAATTACCTCTGAGTATTAATGATGACATTTTAATTAATTAAAATAAATTTAATTACGGAGTCATCTTGGACAACAATTACACCAATCTTGAACAACATAAAATCATGGTCACCAATGTTTCTGACAAGTGCTGAAAATTTTACATTAAGCTACATACACACAAGCAGGAAAGGTATTTGCTTGCCATCAAAACTCCAGCTTTACATAATATGTGCATAATACGTGTAATCAATATGTGTTGAATACATAAATTAACACATTAATGGCATAAAACATTGTTTTGATAAATTTTACCCACATCTGGAATTTTAGGATCACTATACATATTCCATGGAAAATCCACGTAAATCTACAAGGGTTTGTTTATACCAACCTTAGTCCCAACTGGAAAGAAAAAAGGTCGGGAGCAGGGCACTGTTAATAGAATGATGTCAGTGTGTTTCCTAGAGAAGACCAGCTGGCAACGAAATGCCTCCACAGGAAGGTAGTGAGTTAATAAATTCAGCATGGTCCAGAGTGTGTCTTTTTTTCTCATAGGCATAAAAGCATGCTAGAATCTCAGAAGCTGACTCACTTTAATCAAGCTGAACCCAAGGACTCTCAGAAATACAACTGCTGAGGGAACAAGACCTTTTTTTTTTAAGCAATTTACCCAAATGGTTAACTATTTGGAAACCCACATTGTAATCACAAGTTCATTTAATAAACAAGGAAGCAGGCAAATTGAGATATGATTGTTGGAATATTAGACAACAAACGACCTCACAATAAGATCTCTGTCATCTGCTCCTGACAGCTGTTGAGCTCACTTCTATACCCCTAGCTCTAGGCAAATAGTAAGGAAATCTATGAGTATTACTTGAACAAATTGTCACTCCTTCCCCCAGACAGTAGTCCTTCCTTCCTGAGTCAATCATTCTTTACACTGTTGCACTTTTCAATCCTTTTACAGGTTGCTATATACCCAGCAAGATCTTCATAAAATGCAAATTTGATGTCACTTCTCTGATTAGTACAATTCACATTTTAACTGGGCCTTAAGGCTTTCTACTCCAGCCACATCTCACACCCCTCTCCCCTTGTCCATAACATTCCATCCCCATGGGCCCTCTCTCTCTTACAAGATTTCCTAATGGGCTGTTCCCTCTCTATGGAACACTGTATCCTAGCCCCAGTCCCACTTTCACATCTCAACCTAAATGCTAATTTCTCAAAAAGCCCTCTCTCAAATAAACAAAACTAGGTTCCATTGTCATAAATTGTACTAAAACCCATCCTTTACCTTTGTTGAACTTATCATGATTATAATTAAATAATTATTCACATGATTAATTAATGCCTATCTCTCCACTGGTTAGTAAACTCTGAGAGAAAAAAAGAAGTTGTCTTCTTCATTTATATATCCTTAGGCCGGGAGCAGTTCCCATCCTATAAAACAATAAATGTTTTCTGAATGCAATGAATGACGATGTTAACATGTTTCCTTGAATTGCAGTCAGCCTAGCTACCTTGAAAGTCACCCTGTCTCTTTAATTTGACTTTGCAAATTTCTACTGTGGTTCAATAATGGCTAATTTTACGTTTAATACTCAGAAAACAATGTTAATTTCCCTTACTGATAAGGTCTAGGGCAAATCTCACTATAACTACCAACCTCACCACTTCCAATATTCAGGCTTAGATCAGCCAATCTCACTTATTTCTGAAAGAAAAACATCAACTTTAATAGAAGATTATTAACAGAAATCTCTGCAAATTTCAATAATTTGAACAATTTTTTTGCCCATTATTTAAAATGTTGGGGATTAAAGGAACTAAGATATTCAGTTCCTTTTTGTGGAAAATATAGTGCATTTAGCACTTTATTACAAGATGTTACTACATTTTTTTATTCGAGCAAACAGCCCAGTGAGTTACGAAATTTCAGGGCAAGAATCAGGTCAAAGTGTCCCAGAAATCACTGTGAGACCAGCTTGACAACACACAGAGTAGCACTTATCCATCTTGCTGAAAGGACAAATGCCTTGCCTCTTGCCTTCCCTGTAAGTTCTAACTCACTGCCATTTGAAAGATGACTGAATTCAGAAGTCCCTCTATAGTGTCTGACTCATCATTGCATGGCTGGGTTCTACTTCAAAACTTTCATACATTGTTTATTCCCTTTAGCTTTTTACTAATTTAATGGGACAAAAATCTACGGAGCCAAGGTATAAGCTAGTAAAAGAAATGTTAAACAGGTTCTGATGTGTGGACTTTATCAGGCAAATATTTAAAGTTGTTTATAAGTAGAAAAGGAAGGTAGGGAGGGTGCAGATGTAAAGGAAACTCAGGTTCAAAAGACCTGCATCTGACCAACCTACCAGGTCCCAAGACTCAGCCTGGCAGGCTCTCTGTAACTAACTGAACCTTGGCTCCCCACTGCTACTCTGGAAACTAAAAAGTCAGGGAAAAGTAAAGTTCATAACCAAGTGAATAACATTTATTCCCATCACCAGTAAAGGTCAAATATATTCTTTTTCCTGTCCAAAAGATGCTTCAACGCTCAAAATGTTGTTACATAATGTTACCTGCAAATTATAGCCTAAACTAATTCTGGCTTTTATGCATGATGGATTAAGATGCAATGCTTTCAGAAAGTCTTTCTGTGCTTGCTTGGTGGCTTCATCATGACCATATTCCATGTAAGAATTTCCCCGTCCAATATAAGCATCCAGAAAACATGGGTTAATTTTAAGAACCCAGGTAAAGAAATTGACAGCTTCTTCAAATTCTTTAATTCTGAAAATAAATAAAAATATTGATGTTTTCTGGTGAATTAATGCATTTTGATGGCATCATATGTCATTTGGTAACATATACAGTTTTTTCCTCTATATAACTTATACGAACATTTGTGTAAGAACTTTTTAAGAATTTTTTAAATTTTTATTATCCATGGTAGGAAGTAAGCACATAAGTTCATATCACCTAAGAAAATCTTACAGGTTTTATGAAGATCTTGGTAAAAGAAGAGAAGAGAATTAAGGATCATTTTCATAACAGAATGTAACAGGATAATGTTCTGGAATTTCTTTTTCCATTGTAAAAGTCTGGATGGCATTCCTCAACCTGTTTTTATCAGTTATCAATTACCAGTATAGGAAAACATGCTATTATTGATTAAATACATTATTTAATTATACTAAAATAAATACATTTAGGTGTATTTTAAATGCCCTCATACAATAAAAGGAACCAGATTTTCATCATATGGGACTCCTCACTTCAGACCTTCTTGTAAGGCAGGTCATTTCATTGTGGATACCAGGAGAGGTGGGGAGAAAAAGTAAAACACATTTTATGTATTATCTTGTGAATGTATGTGGCTAAATGACAACTTTGTCTCTCTAGTCCCCCAATAACTCTATTGCAGAGGGGGTGAGGACTGTTGAAAAAAATCAAACATTTGAATTTGCATATAACAGTCACTTTGCTGTTCCATATGCATATCTAATCATTGTTTTTAGTCTCAATTAACATGGGGAAAGTCAAAGTTTTTTATAATATAAGGAAGCTAACACTGTGTAAGTGCTTACTTCCTAAGAACTAGGCTAGATGCTTCACATATGCTATTTCATTAGATCCTTCCAACAACTCTGTAAGCTAGTAATAATCGTCTGTATTTTACAGACTAATAGAAAGTCATGGCTCAGAAAAGTTTGCCCTTGGGAAATGGCATGTAAATAGCGTGGTAAGTTAACACAGAGAAAATACCTGAGATTCCAACTCAGGTAAGCCTTATTCCAAAATCCATGCTTTTTCACGCAGCCACCCCTCCCACACATTCTGCACCTATAATATACTTGTGATTGATTGATTGATTCACAAAAGCCAGTGAGATGATAGCTCAACAACATAATCGGAAGAAAGTCTTGGAGTTCAGACTTGAACCTGAATATGCAAATTAATATTAATTTTTCAAGGTTGCTGTGAGAATAGAGAAAAGCATGTGAAGAGCACCTAGCACAGAGACCCTCACCCAATAAAGATTATCTTCCTTCCATTCTTTTCATGACTATCCAAGCAGGCTTCAAAATTCGATAAGATACATCACAACTTTGCTCATTTTTCCTTTGTAAAATGCATGGAACCCAGGATAACTCCTGTAGAATTTCTTCATCTAGATGTTACTCAGGAGTATCTCTTAGAACAATGTTTCAGTGTTTTCCAAACTTTACCCTTCCTACGTGAAAGTTGACTTGTGTTCCACCTACACCATCATTTTCTGAATATTTTCTTTTAAGTCAACTCACTTTTTTTTTACTTAACTAGTTTATTTTCAAAGACAACTTAATTTCGATACCATAAGTTGAAAAAATATGATCTCGTTCCATAAACAGAAGGCAACCCTAAAAATAAAATTGGAGCTGGATACTGTAGGCTACAGAAAACTGAATCTAAGTGTTGTACTCTTGATTACACATAATTAGAAAGTTGTTAAAAAATGAGCTCTTAGCTGAGATTGTCTCTTTGATGTACCCAGAAGGTTTGAGAAAGAATTCATTTTGAAACTGAAGAGCAGTTCAGTTTCTCACAATGTTATTTAGTGTTTTGTTAATGCTTGTCCACACCATGAAAAATAGTTGAGGTACTCATGATACTTGTTCCATATATTGGCAAACACTACCCAGAGTTGTGCAACAAATGTTCTCAGAGCAGATCACACAAAAATCAACAGTGAAGTATTAAGAAAGCTTAGCTCTGGAGTTACAGACAGGCAAAGGTTAACATCCACATTATGAACCAACTCGTGTCTTCTACGTTCACTCTGGATTGTTACTCAGAAAACACAGTCAGTTCCCTCAAGTAGCTTATGATGGAACTGTGCTTCTCTTTCCTAATAATTGGCATTATTTAAGAAGTAAAATTTCCCTTTGCCTTTCCAATTGCCTCCTCACTGTATTGTAGCAATAAATGTAAACACAGCATAACAATTCTTTATTAGAAATAATTAGGCCATAGTCATTTTGTGTAAAATACATTTAGTTTATAGATTTTTTGTGCTATGTATTTCTATCTATGAGTAGTGAAATATTTACTTATGATGCATACATACTATGGTACTATGTGAATATGTAAACTGAAATTTCCAGGGAAATCCCCATTCTCTCAGGTTTTCCCTCAAATCAATGAAATGCTCTTAGTATATTGACATCCAAATTGATTCATGTACACTGTCCTCTCTTCCTCAGGAAAATTAAAAGTCCTTTGTGAGTAAATATTCTGATACATGGTTTATAGAAAATAGTCTCTCCCTTTCTATAGCCTAACCAACTAAAAAAAAAAAAATGAGGCAGTGAACAGTAGCTCATTTATACTACATAGTATAAATTATGAAAAAGTAGTGATTGAAGCTATTTTTCTTTATCACAAGTTAACAGCACTACCATTTAGTGAGCATCTATCTAGTCTGTTCAGATTAAATAATCATTAAACCTTAAAGCAGAAAAGGGATCTTGAAAGTCACGTAGCCAGCTCCCCAAAGCTAGTAGTGACCGAAATCAAGTACCGAAAAATAACTGAAGACAGAGACTCCTGAGCTTCCTACACCAATAGACCAGGGAAAAAAATGAAATAGATACCACTGTAGAAACAATTATTTCATTTCTCCAAAGATGTGGTCATCACAGTGTCCTATAGGTTGAAGGTAGCTGCGTGACAGTCAATGGAAAAATGTGGCAAAATGGTACATCAAGATACATGTTCATTGAGATATAAATGGTTAAGCAGCAGTGACCACCACTAAAATGTATGTTAAATAAGTTTTTCTAAAATAAATTGTGTTTGTAAAATCCAAAATAATGTGATCACTTCCTGAAGGTGCATAGTCTCATTATAGTGTCCTGTTAACAAGGGACTGTGTGCTGAACTTGTCCATTAGGCCACAGGCACAAAGGCACACTGCATTTTCCAAATTAATCACATACGTGACCAGATGTGCCCTACTGAGTTGTACAAATAAATCGCAAATCCCTCCCAAAACGAAAGAACCTGCCTTGCAGAAGACTCAAAAATATTTTATGCAAATACAAGAATAGTAAAATAAATGTGCTGAAATAAAAGGTTGATGGGATGTATAATTCTGCATGATCTCTCTTTATGATATTATTCTTAAGAATATGAAGGTGGTTTTCTCCAAGAGATGTAAAAATTAACTCTACCATAACAGTCTTGGTGACTAAATTGGGCAACAAGTGGGATATTCAAGCCTAAGGAATGTTGTCTCCTAGCAACCACAAGAGTGAGAACCAGAGATATACAAAGGATACTTCAAAAGTCTGCAATCCCCTGAGATCAAAGATCAAAGCCCTAAAATTTTTAAATTTATTCCTTTTTTAAAATTTTCCAAATGAAAAAATTTTTACTTTCCCCACTATTAGATACACCAAAGGGGAACAGCCATAGTTACAAACCATGCAGCTGTGGTGTATGCATTTTATAGCTCACCTTGAAAAGCAAAAATAGTTTTCTTGCAATAAATATAACCAATCACTAAACCATTCTTATTGCTAACTTCAGTAAAACTGTTAAAACTCAAAACATATGGAATTGGGACTCTGAGTTTTCAGGGCTTTATTACTGATTTAAATTCTACTTTTATTAAAGGACAATAGAGATTCCAGTCGGGTGATGAAAGTTGGTTATTTGGAATTGCAAAGCAGTATCAGCTTACAGCGGCTCTGCCATATATACCCAGTGATTACATTTCATAAAAGAGATTGTGAACTGACACACAGAGAAATTTACTGATTCTAATGGTTGCTAAACATAGAAACGGGACTGAGAGAAGTTTTGGAGTCTGTTTTCAGCTTTAGAATGTAACGACCTTGGTCATTTTTGGTCTACACCCACTCACCAAAATAAACACATCATTCATTGCTATTCCACTCTTCTTAAGAATGACAATTACTAAAAGAATGAAGGTGGCTGGATTAAAATAGACAATAGTGTGACCATGTTCTGCTATCTCCACAAAATGAAAGGTATAAGACCAGTTTAGGCCGTCTAACACAAGACACCTTCAGAAATTCCAGTTATGACATCACTTTGTTCACAAATTTACAAATCTAACTAGCATAGAGAATATAGCTGTACTATCTATGTCCCAAAAGGGAAAATAATTTCAACTTCCTAAATAATTCAAACTATGTTCTATTCTCTAAACATATAAATTTTATCCCATATTAAAAATCCTCACTTGCTAAATCTCTATGATTTTACAAGTAAAATGACCAAAAACTAATTTTGAGATATCAAATGTACATATAGAAATGTTAACATTATGGTTACAAAGTCTATATACTACAATATTATCTCAGAGTATATTTGAAACTGATTCTCTTCTGTATTTTAGCCTTATGTAAGTGTTCTTGTCTCTCCTTCTATAACTCATTTACTTTTATAATGAACCCAAGAAGAGAAAATAATGCTTTAAGTATTATGTTATTTTGGAGGTTTTGCATATATTTGCTGGCATTGTCTTACTTAGTTTTAGATTTAGAGTTATGTTTTTAAATGCACAATCTTCTTTAAAAATGTATTATCTTTTGAAATCACCCTCTCTTCCAGCAATGCGGCTTTGTAAAAGTTGGTACAATTTTATGAGCAAAATAAGTTATTTTATGCTTAGACAGTTCAAGCTATGCAAAATTTTATATATTACCAAAATCCTTTCTCAGTGTCTAGACTTGGATCAGATGGATACTCCCCAATGCCATGAAGCAGACATTTACTTGCTAATTTGGCTAAAACAGCCTATTGGAAGGCAGAAGGGTGCTAATGACACACTGTGTGGTCCGGAATTCTTTGTGTCTCTCCCCAGTTTTGTAGTCTGTCACATTCACAATTTTCCCCAGTTTCTTTTATTCCTTGTTGATTTACTTATGGGGCTATAATTAAGTAAGTCTGATGGCCCTACTTGCTTCCATGTTTACATCAATTGCTCTCCATACCTGTGATGGCACATGGCGGTGGCTTGACAAAGACTCACATTAGTCTGGTTTATCAGTGCAGCTTGTTTGAAATCCTGAAATGAGTTTATACATTTTTTTGTTAATTTTGCAACATTATCTTACATACTTTCTTAAATTTCCTTCTAACTGATTCCACCATGAATATATAGAACAAAAGCATTAAAATATACACCTTCTTAAAATTTAATTTTTTCCTTGCAGTATCATGTTGAGTAAGAACGGGTGAAACAAAGGAAACCCATTGTTGTGAACTCACTCAGAATCTTGTGCTACACGTCTCCAAGAATAGAGACTTTTCCTATGATTTTGCCCTGCTGTGTGTAATGAGGTATCTCATTTGCTTTCTTTGTATTGTTTATCCCCATTGAACACCTGCAGAGATTACTCCATCTAGACAGAAAAGGACACTCACCTGAAAAGAACCTTTGGAGTTGAATGACTACAGGACAAACAGGCATACCTGGGCCTTCTGTGTGAATTGACTAAGGCTGTTCCTACTTCAGAATTCACACTTCCAGTGAAAAGCCCTATCATTTTGTCCAAGGATCCAAAAGGCCTCCCAAGAGGGTGGAATGGAAACTAACTCCAGGACTTGAAATTAGGAAGATCAGCAGGGAAGGATCCAAATGGGCCTGGGGAAGAGGCTGTTTAAAAATTAAAAGTGTTGCCTGGCATGGTGGCTCATGTCTGTAATCACAGCACTTTGGGAGTCAGAGGTAAAGGAATTGTCTGAGCTTAGGGGTTCGAGACCAGCCTGAGCAACATGGTAAAACCTTGTCTCTACAATAAATAATAAAAAAAAAAATCAGCTGGGTGTGGTGGCACATGCTTGTGGTTCTAGCTACTTGAAAGGCTGAGGCAGAAGGATCGCCTGGGCCCAGCAGGTTGAGGCTGCAGTGGCCATGAGTGTACACTGCACTCCAGCCTAGGCGACAGAGTGAGACTCCAACTCAAAAAAAAAAAAAAAAGAATTCAAAGTCCTGAGTCTGCAAGAGATTCTGCCAAGGAGGCCCAGGTCACTTTCTTCTACCATGCACCAGAGACAGGATTTGAAGCTTACAGTTTTTCAAAGACCTACAAAAATATTTGAGAACCAAAGTATAATAAGAATATCACTAGGCTGAAACTAATAAAATATTTAAATAAATATCTACAAAACAAAATCTGTTTGTTCTATTGTTCAATGCACTATATATATTATATATGAGATGTAGATGTAATATATATATATAATTATTATAATGTGGAAGGGTCCTTCTGAGTTCAGAACTTATGGAGGAATAAAAATGGCCCTGCTTTTCCCCAGAGGACTGCTTCAGCAGGAATCTTCATGGGCAGTTTTGGTTACGATCTCACTTAACCAAGCTAAACAATGGGGAGTACTGCACTCTCCCCTACAGTGGCAAAAGGAAATCCCTCCAGACTTCCCTCCTAGAGGCCACACACCTGCACTCACAGCCCCAAAGGGCATTATACAGCTAGAGAGGAGCTAACCATAAGCCACTTTCCACCTGTCCTTTGGCCTCCCTTCTTTCCACAAACCCTCCCTGATTCCTCTTTTAGATTCAAGAGGTATAATCTGATACCAAATGGAACTATTTGGGAGAAGATTTTTAAAATTTATTGTTCAATCAGATATAATCTAATCAAAAATGTTTCCAGATATTCCACTAGGAGGATTTTTTTTGGGGGGGGGGGCTAAATTGAGGCAAACTTACAAGCATAAGTGAGATTTATTACCATTAATTTTGGAAGTTTCCAAAAATTACCACATAACTTAAAGGGTGAGAATACCAAATTCAGTCTTATAATAAGACAAAACTCACCACTAATTTAACTCTATAAATATTATACTACATGGTAATTAGGTATTAATTATCGCTATATACATAAATGCTGACTATAAGCATTATTTAGAATAAAGTTAGCCACTGTTATTGCGGTTTTTCTCTTCCACATTAACTCTCTATCTAATGTGAAGATGTTAAATAACAAGCCACACAAAGTCACTTGTGTACAGTGCAAAATCCCTCTACTCCCATTCCCTCCTCACCTGAGGAGCTTATTTGCAATGACCTTCACCCACATTATCTTCCTTTCTGTGTCAGAAAGTGGACTCTTGACCTCATTCCTTCCCCATCTCCTCGGAAGCTTGCTCTATCATATTCCTGCTATCCTCCGTATCTTGAATCCTTGTCTCACTGACCCAACCAAATATACCCTTCCCTCAACCCTCCCTGCCCTGAAAACTGCACATGGTCATGTTTTTCTAGTTCCTGTCACTACCGATCTCCTCAACAGTCAACGCTCCTCATCTCAACACTCACAGTCTCCACATCCCTATATTCCGTCAACTTTCTATTCGTATTGTTTAATAAGATCATTTTTATTTTGTAATTTGTGAACCAGCTCTAGAGACATTTTTATTTATTCATTTGTACTCTTATCAAAGTGACCCATGTAAACAAGTGTGTAGGATCCAATAAAACTACAAAAATTATAATGCTAAACAGTGGCCACTGTTCCACCTCTCCTCACCCGAGTTCCACTCCCCAAAGCCCATTTTTTTTACATCTTACTGTTGTTTCTTCCTGTTATTTACCTTCAAATTTCCAAATAACATAAATACTGTATTGTATTTAACTTTATGGTACAACTGTTCACTTCCTACATAGAATTTAGCTGTCATACACACCACTCCACACAACTCCCTTTCTCCCATCACCCCTCTATGCCTATGATGATTTGTTTGTTTTAGTCTGTATCTTGCTACCCTTAAGTGTCTGATCCTTGGCTATCCATTCATATTTAAGTTTAAGGCACTAAAATCCAGAATGGTGATTTTGAGTGCCTGACATCTCTTCTCTGCTATCTTTAACCTTGCAGAATTGTAACTTTTCTATTCCTTTACTATTATCATGGTAGGTTTTCAAAAGAGAAAAGAGATAAACTTAATCCACTAAATTCTGGTTAACTTAACCATTAAATTCTGGTTAACTTAACCATTAACTTCTCAAACAATTCCAAGCTAAATACTTCCTGATCAAGATGTTTCTATAAAGGGAGTACAGATCTCAATTGTCTAATGTGTTTTCAGCACTCATGTTACTTGGTCTCTCAGTTAATCAATTCTTCCCACTAATTTTTTTTTTCCCTGTTAGATTTTAAGACTCTGCTTTCTCTTTGTTCTTCATTTAGACTTTTAATTAATCAGTCCTATAGCTTTCATTGCTTCTTCCTCTGCTCACATCTCTTTTTACTCTTTTTTTTACTTTGCATAAAGAAAAAAACTGTCATTTTTGCTTTTGCTTGTGTGGTATATTTTTTCCAGCCTTTTCTTTTTAGCTTTCTATATCACTGTATTTAAAGCATGTTTCTTTTAGCCAGAATATAGTTAGAGCTTTTTAAAAATTTCAATTTGGCCTTCTCATTATTTTAATTGTTGTGTTTCAACCATTTCCTTTTAATATAACTACTGATAAGTTGGATTTAGATCTACTATTTTATTATATGTTTTCTGCTTTTCTCCTTTGTTTTTGTTCCTCTATTTTCCCTTTCTGGACTTTTGGAATTTGTAGAATATTTTTAGTATTCCATTTTATGTATGTATGTGTTTATTTAAATATTTGGGGTACAATTCAGAATTAGGTATACAAGTGGTCGTCATACAGGTAAACTTTGGGCCTCCCTGTGGTGCCCACTTAGCTTGGTTTGAGATCAGGTACCTCTAATGATGTTGTATCCCAACCCCACCCTCACCCCGGCAGAATCCCATTACTGCCAATTCCTCTCTTATAGTATTATGGTAAATATCCAGGGTCGGTTTATGAGTGAGAACATGTGTTACCCTTTGTTTCTGTGATAGATCACTGAGTATTATAGACTCTAATTCCATTCAAGTTGCCGCAATTCCAAACTTTTGTTCTTCTTTATGGCTGTATAATTTTCCATGTATATGTACCACATTTTTTTATACAGTCCAGCTTCGATGGGCAGCATGGTCTCATTCCATGTTTTTGCTATTGTGAATAGTGCTGCAACAAACATGCATGTGCAGGTATCTTTTTTGTAGAGTGATTTAAGATCCTCAGGGTATATTCCCAGAAGGGGGGTTGTTGGGTTAGTATTCCATTTTAACCTATCTTCTTTCTTTTTGACTGAGGAGGTCACGTGAGCAGAAACCTAAATGAAAGGAAGGCACAAAAAATATGCAGACCAATAAGAAGAGTGTTGTAAGCGTAGGAAATAGCTTGTGTAAAGGCCCTGAGGCAGTATGGGAGCCTGGCATTTCCAAGGAATACACAAGGCTAGAGTAGAGGGACTAGAGCAGAGAAAAGAGTCTTTGACAAAGAGATTGGAGAGGTGAGCAGTCGTCAGATGAAGTAGGGACTTGCTTGATCATAGTCAAGAGTTCAGATTTTATTCTAAAGGTGATGAGAAGCCATTGGAGGGCCTTGAGCAAAGGAATAACTTGATCTGCTTTATTTTTTTTCAATAGCTTTAGGAAGTACATAGTTGCATTGTATAGTGGTGAGAAAGTCTGAGCTTTAAGTGTACCCTCCAGCTCTACCTGTGCACATTGTTCCTGATAGGTGATTTTTTTGTCCCTCCAGCCCTTCCTCACTTCCCCCTTCTGACTCTCCAATGTCTATTATACCTTTCTCTCTGCCTTTGCAGATCCTGAGTTTAGCTCCCACTTATAAGTGAGAACATGCAGAGTTTGGTTTTCTGTTTCTGTGTTCATTCCCTCAGGATGACGTTCTCCATTTCCATCCATGTTGTTGCAAAAGACATTACTTCATTCTCCTAGCTAACTGAGTAGTATTCCATAGGATATATACACCACATTTTCATTATCCACTGATCTGTTGACGGACATTTATGTTGATTCCACATCCTTGCGATTGTAAATTGTGCTGCGATGAATATGCGAATGCAGATGTGTTTTTAATATACCAACCTCTGTTTCTTTGGGAAAGATACCTGGTTGTGGAAAAGCTGGATCAAGTGGTAGATCTACTTTAAGAAATATCCATACCTATTTCCACAGAGGTTGTACTAATTTATACTCCCACCAACAGTATGTAAGAGTTCCTTTTTCACTGCATCCACTGTTTTTTGATTTTATAAATAATGGTCATTCTGACTGGTATAAGATGGTATGTCATGTGGTTTTAATTTGTATTTCCCAGATGATTAGCTATGTTGAGCGTTTTTTCATATATTGGTTGGTCATTTGTATGTCTTCTTTTGGGAGATGATTATGCCATTTGCCCACTTTTTAATAGGGTTATTTGCTTTTTTCTTGCTGATTTGAGTTCTTTATAGGTTCTGGATATAAGATGTATAGTTTACAGATAAACACACTCATGCTGTAGGTTGCCTATTTGCAGGGGTTCTGCCCCTGCTGGGTCTTGGGTTTTCTGAAGGAGGGACGAATAGGCGAAAGATGAAAATAATATATTCGGACACCTGCTTGTTGAACAAATGACAATTTATGTTAGTTAACACAGAGTTTTTATATTGC